ATAATTCCAGTAACTCTGGAGGCTGAGTAAGGAGGACCACAGTTTAAGACCAATCTGGGCAAGGTAGGGAGATCCTGTCTTAAAATAAAAAATAAAATAAAAAGTGCTGGGGATATAGCTCAATGGCAGAGTGCCCTCGGGTTTTATCCCCAGTACCTCCCCCCCCCACACACACAAAATACAAGTAACCAATTGTGCATATTATCACCCATGCTTGCCTCTGCAGCCTCATCTCACCACTTCCTCCAGCCATTGATTTTTATACCACAAGCACCCAAACCTCTTTCTGCTCATCAAATCCCAACATCTCCTTTCTTTCCTTACTTCTTCCACTGCTAGAACATACCAGCACTCACCACCATTATCACTTCCCTGTTAGCTATATTCATTGCTCTATCACCAGCACATACTGTGGTATCTGGCAGAGCCAGAAGCAAGAAGAATGTGCTGGATACAAGCACATTTAGGATGCCGAGGGCCTCTGCTGTTTCCTTTGCCCATCTGCTCTTTGTTTCTGCCATGATCCTCATTGTTGTTCCTCCTCCCTCCCTTGTCCTTTCCATCACCTTTTGCTGTGATTTGGATCTGGCATGTCCCCCAAAAGCTCGTGGGTTGAAAGCTTGATCCCCACTGCAGCAATTCCAAGAAGTGGTGCTTGAGGAAGTAATTGGATCACAAGGGCACTGACCTCATGAGTGGATTAAGCCATTGATAGCTGAATGGACTACTGGAAGGTAATGGAAACTATAGGCAGGTGGGGCATAGTTGGAGGAAGTAGGTTACTGGGAATGTACCGTTAGGGACTATATCTTGTTGCTGGCCCCTTGTTTTCTCTCTCTCTCTCTCTCTCTCTCTCTCTCTCTCTCTCTCATTCCTAGCTATCATGAGCTAAGCAGCTTTCCTCTGCCACACCCTTCCACCATGATGTTCTGCCTTACCTCAGGCCCAAAGTAACAGAATCAGCCAACCATTCACTGGGATCTCTGAAACCAGGAACCAAAATAAATCTTTCATTCTTTAATTTGTTTATGTCAGGTATTTTGGTCACAGCAATGAAAAGCCATCTAACACACCCCTTTACAGAAACTCACCTCCTATCTACAACCTCATAGCTACTGAAGTTGTCAGCTTCAGAAAGAAGCACTACCGTGTCCATATGAGTATATCCCCTAAATTATTCACCAGCAGGGTGACAACTGTTTCCTTTCATCCTGAGGATCCTGGGATGGGCCCAAGTCCTTCCTAGAGGTAGAGAGAATATCTCACTAACAGAAGTAGGCTTCTTTTCAACCCAAGATTCAAAATCTTTCAACATCAGGGACCTCTCAACAGACAGAACCTAGCCGAAAACTTCACAATCACCCTGCCCACAAAGGAAAACATCACTATGCTAACAAGATGGGTTAGCAAGAGTTGTGACAAACTTCATATATTAAATGTTATGACTAAACTTGCTACTAAGAAAACAAATGGCAAATTATTCTATAAAATAGATATCTGGCTTAAATTTTAATCTCGAGTAAATACAAATTTTCATATACAAAATGACATTAATAATGAAAAACAAGAGCTATTATTTATCTATTTACTGAAATCTATTGAGAATCCAACAATATGCTCAAAGTTCAAATACTTTCTTCTTTACCACCATTCCATGAGGCGTGAATGGTTATTATCCCCATTTCACAGAGAGGAAACCAAGCCTAAAATAAGTCTAAGAGAAAGCTAAGATCTAAAATCACAAGCCTCCACATGACCAACCCCTAGTGCTTTTCTGTTATGTTTTGCTATTTAGAGAGCTTTTTCATCTAAGAAGTCAGAGACATGGACATGTCCAGAGAGACAGACCCTTGGAGGGGGACCTCAAAGGCTGAGATTTTCTTCAGCAATGTAGACGTTGAAAGGAAAGAAACCTCCTACATCTTATATTTCAAAGCTGCATTTCTACATTAAAAGAGAAAACTGAAATTCAAGGAAAAGATATGGGAAGAGAGCTCAAGGGTGCTTATGAATGCAATTCCACAAATACATTTTCAGTATCTTCTAGTGGTCAGGCAGTGTGCTGGAAGCTGAGTTATCATTGTCACTTAGTAGAATGCTGGGTGACACGGCTTGATGGGGAGAATTCTTGCATAGTGAATCTTTCAGCAATGTTTAGTCAATAATTTACACAACTGTTATGTTATTATCTAATTATGCAGAAATCATCATTCATAAAGGAAAAGTGAGAGTTACTAGCTTATTATCTGTGAATACATAATTGAAGGGCATATGTACCTTTTAAAATCAAAGTTTTGTATGATTCAAATACCTCTTGTACATTTCTGATACCTTATATCAGAGGGTTAGATTTTAATATCTGTGAATGCAAATACAGTATCAGATTGTGTTATCAAGTATCTGAAAGAACAAAATGGAAAAATATGGACAGCCAATACAAGGCTAATTCCCAAAACAGAAATGGAACATATTGAAGCTGCATGTACATACAATTAAAGATAAGGATATATAAACATGTCCTAAAGCAGTCCACCAAATATTTACAGAATGAGGCTCAGACAAGGATATCAAGTAGAAGACAGTATGACCCTGGAAAGGTCACACACCATTCTGTGAAGCCTCCAGAAACCTGCCTCCTTTGAAACAGGATGCTTTTGACACAAGAGCATGAGAAGAAGACTGTATATCACTCCCCTAATTTATAAAATGAAAGAGACAGATGATTTATAAGTTCCTTTCAGCTCTAACCCAGTAAATAGTTTTCACCTCTGTGGCCCTTACACCTCAAGAGACATGAGTATATAAAGATGCTCAAAAGACATTTGTTGAGTTAATGAATTATTACAACCTTACCAATACTAAGAAAAGGGACTTTACAAAATTGGCCCAGTCTGTGGCATAGAAAGAGCAAATTAGTGGGAAAACAATTATCTAAACAACTGCACATGTGGTGCTTCTGCTTGCTGACTGCTGGCAAGAGGAAAATAACCCTGGACTTGGAAATAAGATGCGTGGTCTAGTCTCTGAAACAAACCAACCGTGTGACCTTGGGCAAACTGCATTACCACCTGGGCCAGTTTCCCCATCTCTAAAATAAAGGTATTATGAGGCTATATATAGCTAACATTCGTGGAACCTTTACTATATGCCAGGAACTGTTCCAAGATCTTTGCCTTAGACTTAAATGATTTCAAAAGTTTTAAAAGCACTAATGTTTACTGTCTAACTAAAGAGGTAAAAAGGTTGGGCTCTCTCTCAGCTCTGAAAGGTGGGGTCTTTTTCTAAGCAGAGATTGTGAAGCACAAGTGGCTACAATTCCAGTACTTCTATTCACTGGCTGGGTTAACATTCTGAATGAGTTGCTTAACCTTCCTGACTTTATTTTCTAATCTGTAAAATAGTTCTTTCTTTCTTTCATATAGCTTTTTAAAGGACTGTTATAATAAATGTAATATATATTTAGTAAAATACATATTACTTTTTATTACTAGCTGTGTAACCACGGGCAAACCATCTTCTGCATTTTCTCATATACAAATGGGAGATGCAGTGTTATTAAAAAGAGATCATGTGAACACGCTCTGTAAATTATTGTTCGCTGTTTTTGAAAGAAACGCACATTCTCTAATACTTGGAACACATTATACAATCCTATATCTCATACGCGTAAAAGTATAGATAACCAACAGTAAGAAAAACAAAGAACAAAAATCTTTACTAAACATTTCTCTCTAGTCCCGGCTCAAGCCGACTGGACTTAGACCACGGCAACCAAGAATGCAGAAACACTTGGGAGTTGTAGTTCTGAACGACAGGGCTGCTACACCGAGCGGCTGAAAAAGACTCCAATTCCCAGGAGACACCTCGCCACGCCAAAATGGCACGTAGGGAGGTGAAGTACCAGATAGTTTGGACACAAGAGGCAGGACTCCAATTCCCAGAAGCCTTCGCTGCACACACTTCAGGTCATAACATGGAGCGGAAGAGGAACTTTTAGGCACACCTGGCTTAACCACAGGTGAGAGTTCCCACCGTTCTCTGTATTCTAGTCCTGGCCCAGCTGGGGTCAGAGCCTTTCTTTAAAAAAAAAAAAAAAAAAAAAGGGTGAGGGGCGATGTATTTTCCACTGGCCCGCAGCACATTTCTGAGAAATCCAGAATAATAATACCAGTTAGCTTGCAAATGGCAAACTTTCACCAACAAGACCTCAATTTAGATTTCGGCTTCAGACAGCATCCTTGGGCCACTTGAGCACTACCCCCCCCCCCCCCCCATTAGCACTGTGAGAGGCAGGTCCAAGGTGACACAGCAGAGGCAGAATCTGAACCTACCAGAGGAAGCTGCAAATACAGCTCAAGTTAGTCACTAAGTTGCGGGAGTCCCTTCCACAGCACCCCAAATATGGATATACCTTTGAAATTCCTATATATTAATCTAAAAATCAAAACCGCAAACATAAAATATAAGTACTGATGAGTTCTCACACAACTAACAAGATGCTTTTTTTTTGGGGGGGGGGGGGGTCTTTTAAATATCAAATGAGCATTTTTCTCCCCCAAATACTGACTTCTACATGCCCTGCTTTGCTCCTGTCTGGGCACCTCTTCAGACCTTCTTTGGGGGACCCTAGAATTACGTGTTTAACACAGAACTGTAGGGGCAGGGATTCCTGCTACTTATCTATGACACCGACAAACACTGGATCCAACAGAGAGGCCAGAACCGACTACAGCACAGGTGGCAAAGTAGGTCGGCTGGAGCGACCCCATACCTCAGTTTCCCCACTTATAAAAGGCAGAGGGTGCTGAAGAATTGAGGGGCCTGAGTCCCAAACCCGAGATGTCTCAGCGGGTGGGAGGGTCCTGCGGACAGAGCCTAGCGCTCGCGCTAGCCCAGTCCCCGCCCCATTGGGCCGCGGGGGGTCGTGACTCGACGCACACGGAAATCCAGAACCGCATCCCAGGTACACTGTTCCACTCAGGCTCGCCCCACGCCCCTACCTTCCAAGGTCTTGGCAGCTGGGAATGAAAGAGGGAAGGAGCGCGGGGCTGGAGCGCTACCCGAGCGTGTGCCCACTGGGATGGCCTCCAGAGGGACTTGGGGGTCTGAGTGCAAAAACTCTCTGACAGGGACACAGCCGGGCTGGGACTGCAATTCCCAAATGGCCTCACGGTAGGGGCGGGACCCAAGATGGCCGCTCATCTGGAGACAGGTACAGCGACCAATAGGCGCAGAGCACGCGCCTACACTGGGCCAATCGGAAGCCAGTAGGTAGGAACCCTAATTATTTTTTCACGAAAGAGCAGTTGAGTGAGAATCTCAGAACGGGATTTTTTGTCACAAATCGCACAATCCTTGGCCTTGTCCAAATGAAATAATAAACATGACCTTTTTCACGTGAAACGAAAGCCCGCCCTGTGCTTTTTCTTCCCTCTTTCCTCCTAAAATGCGTTTTCTTGCTCCCTCACAACTCCCTTCTGACTGGATCGCCTTTCACTGCCTTTCCCCACTCCCCACTCTGAATCCTTTCTTTTCTTTACTTTCTTTGTTTTTCTTCCCGGTGTTGGGAATTGATCCCAGGGGCGCTCACCCCTAGCCCTTCATATTTTTGAGACAGGGTCTACCTGAGTTGCCTAGGCCGGCCTGGAACTTGCGATCCTCCTACCTCAGCTTCTGGAATTGCTTTTATCTTTCCTGATTCCTCAAGCCTTCCTCTCTTTATATTTCTATCAAAATACAAGCCCAGAATTTCCTTACGTTGATCCAGTTTAGGACTACACTTTTCCCTCCCTGACATCCCATCAAAGTTGCACCACAGTCTCCCTACTTCTCTTCCTTCCCCCCTTTTTCGTGCGATTTTTTTCTCCTTAGCACTTGTCACTACCAAGCACATTGAAATTTGTTTACTTATATCTTTTATTGCCTTACTTGTCCCCTAAAATGCAAGATCTATGTAGATGTGGATTTTGTTTCTTTAAGGTATTTCCAGTACCTAGAAAAGTGCCTGACACACAGTAAATATGTTTTGAATAATTGAAATCTAGAGGTGACCCTTCTCCTCTGATGCAGATCAATTAAATTCATCTCTGACCACCATGGATCCCTAGTACTGGCTCTGTTTTTTAATTTAAAAAAAAATTGTTTTCAGTATATTCTGTACCTAATGTCATGTGGATGTGGGAGAAATCACTGATTCAATACCAATTCCTAACCTCAACATTTCCTGGGTCTGGTGGTGTATGAGAAGTAAACTTAATTTTGCAGTAAATGCAATTGCAAATTGCAGAGCAGGTAAATAACTGTCACAGCAGGGACTAGAATCTGGCCTTCAGACTCTTTGCCACTACTAGCCATCACTTCTTAAAAGACACCCCTTCCTTTTCTCCCATCCCCCCTTGCCAATCCTATTTATAAGGAAGAAGAGACATTTGCAAGTCATCTTTTCCATTTTAAAAGGGGAAAACAAAGCGCAATTATACTGGACAAACACTGACATGTGTCCCTACTTTCCCTAGTACAATATTCATTTTATTCTCTTTTTTTTTCTCTTACTTTTTTCTTTGACCTGATTCATTACATGCAGGTGATTACACCAAGTCTTAGATCTCTCTTCCTTTCTGATGTTTGAACCCCACAGAGAGTAGCAAGGTGTCCTACAAAGCATCATGGTGTGAAATACTGATGTCCTTGGAAGCTTGACTCTCAGAGAATGTCACACTGGATTATAGTCAGAATGTGCATATAACACAGAGACACTCTGGGCACATAAAATATTAGAGAATTGTGAATAATAAGATGAAACTGAAAACAATTATAGTTAAAACAGCAGGAATGTGATCAATATATATATGCAGACTAATTTTGTGCCTAGAGATTAAAACACCCACCCCCTTCAGGCTTCCTAGCTTAATCTTCTGTCAATTTGGGGTTCTTTCCTCCATACAACAATTCTTTCTTGCTTTTACAAGCACAGACTTAGCTCAGCAGTCCCAGCTTTTCTCAAGCTTATCGGCATGTGAGATTTCAACACTTGTGTCAGCAGCCAGACTAAACATGGAAGAAAATCGCTGAACCATTTGAAACTGGAAAGCTCAACAACTAGACTCTCCTCCTGAGGAAATTTACCAGCTTATATCATTATATCTTCTACTTCATGGTTAAAAGGCAAATATCATCACAGTACTCAGGATCTAAACAGTGCTATCCAAAGATTGTTACAACATCGTCAGACCCTGTAATGAGCACATAGGTATTACTTGGCTGTGGATGTTGCTAACTGCTGGGCTGAATGTCAACTGTGGTCTTCAGCAACACATGCATTTACAAAGAACATTAAGACATGGAACTTGGGCTGCGGTTGTGGCTCAGTGGTAGAGCACTCACGTAGCACTGGGTTCAGTCCTCAGCACCACATAAGAAGAAATAAATTAAATAAAGGTATGTGTCCATCTATAACTTAAAAGAATTTTTAAAAGACATGGAACTTCCCTTGAACCAGACTCCAAGTATCAAAACAATCTAATTTACAACTTGAATGAATAATCATATTACTTTGGGTTTTCCCAGAAGCAGATCCTGAGACAGATAACCAAGTACAAATAGTTTATTTCAGAGGTAAGTGCAGGAAATAACCAATAAGAGAGTAGCAAAGGAAAATAGGCCAAAAAAAAAAAAAAAAAAAAGCCAATCCAGTTTGTACTAGCAGGAACAATTATAGCTTAATAATTCTAGGGAATTCTGGGAAGCAATATGGAACACATACATGTCTTATTCTGGAAATGAGTTATCTCACCAAGGAGAAAAGACAAATTAGTTGTTTAAACATAAATTCCCAATCAGTCAATGGGGGCTATTTTCAGGGACTATTAAAATTCCTGAGTTGTCTGCCATGGATAAGTAGGTGAAGATACCTCAGTGGCCAAACACAGGCAGAATTAGAAGTACTGCCATTGGAAGTCAGGCTGGCATGCACTTAAATGGTAAGAAAAGGGTACTGACAGGCACCACTATCTACTACAGATGGCTTTGATTCACCACAAGCTCACATCACTGATAATCCAAAAATTAAGTAGATATATACAAAAATAAAGAAACCAAGATGGCTACCACCTTGTATCATCATCATGTGTGAGATCATATTTGTAAATCTTCATTAAGACGTATAAACAGGGCTGGGGTTGTGGCTTGGTGGTAGAGCACTTGCCTAGCATGTATGAGGCACTGGGTTTGATTCTCAGCACCACATATAAACAAATAAATGAATAAAAAATAAAGGTTCATCGACAACAATAACAAAAAATTTAAAAAGACATACAAAAACAAAAGCCACATTTGTACGGAGAAATAGGAACTCTTTGAGGACAGGAGGAGGCATTGGGGGATTGGGGTGAGATAGGGCAGGGAGGAGGAAGGTCAAGAAAAGAGGGGCATGGTGCAGTGGTGCACGCCTGTAATCCCAGCAGCTGCGGAGGCTGAGACCGGAGGATCTCAGGTTCAAGGCCAGACTCAGCAATGGCGAGGCACTAAGCAACTCAGTGAGACCCTGTCTCTAAATAAAATACAAAATAGGTCTGGGGAGGTGGTTTAGTGGTCGTGCTCCTAAATTCAATCCCCAGTACCCATCCACTGCCCCACCCCCAAAAAAAAGAAAGAAAAGAGGAAAGGGGAATTTTTAAAAAATGTATTTATTTTTTTAGAAGTAGTTGGACACAATACCTTTATTTCATTTATTTATTTTTATGTGGTGCTGAGGATGGAACCCAAGGCCTCACACATGCTAGACGAGCGCTCTGTCCCTGAGCCACAATCCCAGCCCCAGAAAGGGGAATTTAAAGAAACTATTGTTGAAGACAATGTGTTTTTTATTTCATGATCTTGCAGAAGCACAAGTAAAGGGCTCAAATATTTTGAGAAAGTAGTACAAAGATATAGTCAGTCTTTGGACCTAGAAGACAATTTTGTGAAAGACCTTTTCTGTAATTTGGCCATGATAGCACTACAAGTAAATAGCATTACTTGAAATTATAGTCACTATATAGTTGTCTTTTTGTTTATCATCTGTCTCCTCCAAATAAAATGTAAGCTTCATGAAGGCAAGAACTTTGTTTTTATCTTATTCAATAATAAGCACTTGTCTGGGTATAGTGGTGCATGCCTGCAATCCCAGAGACTTACTCAGAAGGCCCTGCTGGGAAACTTAGACAGACTGTCTCAAAATAAAAAATAAAATGCCTTATAGTTGTAGCTTTCAGTCAAGAATCTTGGGGGGATTTATTTGGAAAAACATCATATCTAATATGAAAATGCTATATTGGAAAAAGGAAAAGCAATACATTGTTTTTACAACACAAAGTATAGAAAGGTTGGGAAACTCAGCTGTTTCCACATTGCTCCAGTCGCCATCCCAGATTTCTCAGCACATAATCGTTTAATTGTTTGGACATGGAATATTCTAGATGCTAGTAAGAGCAAGAGCCATCTTACGATATGCTAAAATTCTCAACATTTCTGCCTACTACTTTTTTTTATTCTCTCGCCTTATTTTCCCTTTGTTGCTCCATGTTAAATGTATTCCTTGGGTAGATTTGTTCATCAGATATTTAGAGATCAGTCTATTCCCTATAGTTAGTGAACATATGCATGCTGTCTCCTTTTAACTATGCCTCATAAATAATCACACTTAATCCTTCTCACTGCCATCTTTTGCAATCATCTTCCAGTTACCTAGAACATAAGGTGCATAAAACTAAACTCAGTGTCCAAGCTGTGATCTCACTAGGGTGGCTCACAGATAAGCCATGATTTTTCATCTTTCTCTTTCATGAAATTATTTCTGTAAACACACTGCCCTGGTTTCATGGCGGCTTTAAAGACATTTCATCATTTTAAAAGATAAAACACAGTAAAAGCCTTTCCTCAAAATACAAAAAAAAAAATCTAGTTCTTTAGTTGAGGACATAGGGAAGAATGACATGCATTTTTAATTCAGTAATTAAGGGTTCTTTTGTGCCAGACACTGTGCTACAGTTTGAGATTCACCAACAAATGAGATATACATCTGGAATTGTACTATAGTGAATGCAGCACTGTTCTAAGTTGTAAACAGATGAACAAATAATTGTGATGCTGTCTAGGA